CCGGCGCCCAGCTGCGGCGCAAGCAGCCGCGGCAGAAGCTGTGGCCGCACTCGATGGACACCGGGTCCTCGAAATAGTCCAGGCAGATGGCGCAGGTCAGCTCCTCCCGGAGGTCCTCGGCCTCCATGACGCCCCGCGGCCCCGCGGCCCCGCGCCCCGGGCCGGACGCGAGGCGCGGGCCGGACCGCTCTTGCGGGCGCGGGACCCGACGGGGGCAGGACCTCCTGCGCTCGGGCGCGGCCCGGCAGAAGCGCTCGAGCCCCGACGCCGCCGGTTTCCGCGCCGGAAGGGCGAGCGCGGCGGACCGGCCGGGGCGCCAGGCATGACGGGACGGCGGGCGGCGCCCACCGGCCACCATAGAGATGCGGAAGTCCGCCGGGAAGCCCAGAGGGTACTCGGGTGGCGCGAGGTGAGGCGCCCGCGCAGTCCTAGAGAGGACTCGGGTGGAGCCGGGTGTGGAGCCCGGCGGGGGCGATGCTTGGGCTTTGGGGCTGTCCTTCACGTCTGAGGGCCGAGGTCTGTGTCCGCCTGCGACTGAATTTAATAGACCGTGCCGATTAAAGTTCTGGAGTGCCAGGAGTTCGGGACGGGCAGTGTCCCGGGAGCTGGAGTGCTGGGAGGGCTTAGGGCATTTGTGCAGTTGGCCCTGGGGTTTGGCCAAGGGTGCTCTGTGTCCCTTCGGCTGGCTCTCCCCAGTCTTCCCCTTTCGTTGTTTCACGTCGCCCTCCACGGGGAGGAACCCGTCCTCCGCCCTTGACCCCAAGGTCTGGCTGGGTCCCTAAAAAGGCGGGACCTCTTACTGCCCCGGGAAGACCCACCCTTCCTGTTGGAGAAGTCAGGGACACTGGAAAGCCAGCGTCCGGGGAAGCGAGCCGGGGAGGGAGTGTGCAGCCCCACGGGCTGCTGGGGTGCTGTCTGATCACCTCGCCACCTTGGTTTCTCTCTCTTCCCGGGCATGGGAGACAGGTGCCTTTTGGGGGAAGCCCATTCTTAGAGTTTGGTACACACGCGCCCGGTGCAAGTACAGGCCCTAATGGTTAAGTCAGGGGAGGAGAGTGGGGATTAGATGTCTTCTTCAGATTTGAGACTTCCTGTCAGTATTTACATGGTCCAATTCCCGGGGGATCTGGGGGCTGCAGGAGGCCCTAGGCCCACTCTGGGTGATTTGCCTAAGGTGCTAGGAAGGAGCAGGTCCTGTAGCTACCCTCGCTGAGCAGTTTCTGACGGTCCTCCCCGAAGAGATTGAGACCTGGTTGCCAAAGCCGGGGCTCAAGAGTGGAGCTGCGGCTGGGGCAAGGGCTTGTGAAATATCTGCTGGGACCGGGAGAGGAGGTGACAAGGAAGTCAGGTTGTTTAATTGGGGAGGGTTAGGAGTCAGAGGCACAGTTATTTCAATGCGTTGCCTTTTTGGTACCTAACTTTGTTATCCCAAGGAGCATCCATGAAGACTTTCAGCAAAACAGTGTGCTTGCCTGTTTCAGGGAATTATCGATCTCCCCCCAATGAATTTTAACCCTGTCCAGTAAGTCCCCTGCATACCGATGAGTTCCATTCCAAGAGCACATTTATAGATCCAATTTGTTCATAAGTTCAACAGCCTGGTACTCAACTAACACAATGGGGTATACAGTACCTGCTACATCACTGCTGCTTTTATGTTTGCTTCGGGGCATTCTGGGCTTGAAATAAAGATACTGTTGTACTGTACACCATACAATAAAGTACACAAAAGCACAACCACTCACAGAGGATGCACACACCTGACAATGTACACCACACATGTGAATTAACACGTTTGGACATGCCGACACACGTTCACATCTTTGAAAGTTCACAACTTGAAGGTTCATATGTAGGGGACTTACTATATCGCTGAGGTGCTTTGCTTTTTATTCTTCCCATTTTACTCCTTTTCTTTTGAATGAGATTTGTTAAAAGAAAAACAAACCAATAAACTTAACATAATTTATCTTCACAAAGAACAGTTCATGAATTGGGGTAGTACTCAGAACCAGAAGAAGCTCAGAGGGATTCACCTAGCAGTGTGAGCTGCTACTTTTTGGATTTTAGGTTTGTTTTGTTTTGTTTTTTGACTCAGAGTCTTACTCTGTTGCCCAACCTGGAATGCAGTGGCATACTCACTGCCATGACAGCCTCGACCTGCTGGGCTCAGGTGATCCTTCTGCCTCGGCCTTCCAAATAGCTGGAACTATAGGTGTGAGCCACCACACCTGGCTAATTTTTTGATTAATTGTAGAGTCGAGGTCTCACCAAGTTGCCCAGCCTGGTCTTGAACCCCTGAACTCAGGCAATCCTCTTGTCTCGGCCTCCCAGATTGCTGGGCTTATAGGTGTGAGCCACTGTGCCTGGCCAACTGCTAGTTTTTATAAAAAGCCAAGTAGAGAAGTCACCTGATAGGCTACCACTAGGCATGCCTTATCAGCCATGGTGTGATGAGGCATTTGCCTAGTTTGATCATGGTCTGATCACTTGGCTGCCTGTTATTGGCTGAAGCTCAGTTGTTAGTGATTGACTAAAACCCAGCTATTTGCTAAAACAATACTAAGTTAGGCTTCAGTTGTGGTTTGTTATGTAGGAACTCAAAGTACCAAGAGAGAGTCTCAGACTAGTGGTCTCCTGCTTATTTAACAGAATTTTCATTCTTCTTGTGTCCCAATGTCAAATACTCCCCACAATAATTGGGAGAATTTTTACTCCCCTCAAATTATTGTGGGAGTGGTATGATTATGCCTTGAAAAGAGGGTTCCTGAGATCTCTATTTTGCGGTTATTGATAAAAGTTTCATATAGGCTGGGCATGGTGGCTCATGCCTATCATTTCAGCACTTTGGGAGACAGAAGCAAGAGTACCGTCTGAACCCAGACCAGGGATTCAAGACCACCCTGGGTCACTTGGCAAGACCTCATCTCTACAATAAACCAAAAAAATTAGCTGACATGGTGGTGCATGCCTATAGCTACAGCTACTTGGAAGGCTGAGGCAAAAGGATTGCCTGAGACCAGCAGGTCAAGGCTGCAGTGCCAGGAGCATGCCACCACATGCCAACCTGAGCAAGAGTGAAACTCTGACTCAAAAAAAAAAGTTCCATAGAATGTCTATTTTTAAGACATTTAAATTATACAACTAATAAATTTATTTTCTTTGCAAATTGGAATACTATATTGTGAACAAATCTGAGTCTTTAATAAGGACCAAGCAGGATGTAGTGCTTTTATCATTACTGATGTTTACCATGAGTGTTTATGGTGTGAGTGTGGGTTTTCCTGTGCATCTGCCTATGTATTGGGTGAGAAGCCTCTGCACTCCTGCAAAGTATTTGTTCCTCTCTCAGTATTCATTTACATCTTTTCAGGTAAATTTCTTAAGGTCCCTGTGTATTCTGTCCTTCTATACTCCTGAGATGACCTTCCTACTTTACTGAGAATAACTGAGTCTCCCTAATTTACAATTTTCTACAACATAAATGTCTGTGTATCAGCCAAGGCTCAATCAGAGAAGCAGAAGAGCAAGACTGAACTGGAGCCTAAATCACAAGCTGGTCATTCTTTTACTGTGTCCAACTTTAAAGATATGGGTATCTCTGCTAGAGGAGCCGACCCCTTTACCAAAGGGCTAAACACACTCTTGGCCCAAGAATCAAAGAAGTTGAAAGATAACTCAAGGGAAGGCTACTTCCCCATGCCAACAAAGCAGAACAGCTGATAGGTGGCAAAGTGCATGAGTTACAATAGCACCAGGCTTTCAAGCTAAAACTGGAGGGCTGCTTCACTTTGCCCTCTAAAGCTTATACAAACATGTTTTGCTTTGTTTTTCTAAACTTCTCTAACCAAAACAAATAGGAAATTCTGGGAAACATTGTCCATCTTAGCAAAGTTGACACATTACAAAATTACCACTGTCCACCCCTTGTCAACTTGGAACTCATACAGATCTCTTTTTTTTTTTTTTGAGTTGGAGTCTCACTCTGTCGCCCAGACTGGAGTGCAGTGGCCGCTCCCAATCCACCACAGCCTCGACCTGCTGGGCTCCAGCGACCCTTCCACCTCAGCTTTCCGAGTAGTTGGAACTACAGGCATGCGCTACCACGCCCGGCTGATTTTTTGATTTTTTATTGTAGAGATGAGGTCTTGCTGCCCAGGTGGATCTTGAACCCACGGGCTCAGGCAATCCACTCACGTCAGCCTCCCAAAGGCGCGGGATTACAGGCTGAGCCACCAAGCCCGGCTCATACAGATCTCTTTAAAACATCCTTATTCTCAAAAATAAAGCCCATACCCTACACATAAAATATCACTAGAGAAATATAAACTTGTAGTGCACTGAGGATAACTGCCACAACAAATGATAAAATTTACTGACTCTATAGTTCTGTTTTCCATATTTTGAACCTAGCCCAATTCCTGACTAGATCGATAAAACCCCACACCAGTATGCACTAAAGGTCTTGCAGAAGGAAAAATGTACTCACCTCCAAGCATAAAATTGTTTACTTCAGTGTCTGTCTACACAATATGTCTAACTTTCCACAAAAAGAAAAAAAAATAAGTATATGAGAAGCCAAACACGCACATGCACAGTCTGAAGAGATAAAACAATCATTAGAACCAGACGCATAAGGCATAGGTGCTAAAACTAACAGACAGAATTTAAAGGAACTATGATAAATGTGGTGAGGGGAAAAGTAAGCAACATATAATTTTAGATTCGTGATTTCAAAAAATACAGTAGATGGAAACTATAAGGAAGGACAAAATGAAATTATAAAATTTTAAAAATATTTTCATAGAAAATGAAGAATGCCTTTACTGGGCCCATTAATAAACTCGACACAGTTGAGGGGGAAAAATCAATAAACTTGAAAGGAGGTGAATATAAATTACTAAAACATAAATAGAAAAAAGGGATAAAAATAACAGCATCCAAGAGTAGCAAGAAAATAGCAAATATCAAATCAAGAAATAATGGATGAGAATTTACAAAATTAGTGAGAGATATCAACCTATGGAGTTCAGAGAACACCTGGTGGGATAAATTTTCTCAAAAGAAAAGCTTATCATTTCTTTACAGAATATCCACCATCCCATCATATACTCCTTCTCTATACTG